ATGAATTGTTTATACCTGATAAATACAACAGTACAATCTGACAGGTTATGATGAGGTGGCCTAAAAGGAACAAAAAGCCCCTCACTTGAAGCATAACTGAACCCAAAAATGTATTAAATTGCAGCTTAGCAGTCCTTGGTGGCTGCATTACCTTTTATCAGGCTAAGAACATGCATGAGAACACACACAAAAAAGGTGAAATGGGGTGTCAACTGGTCCATCACCCGAAGAGATTGGGCCCTTCCCTGACCCCCACCCCCCGGCCAATGGGTTATGCAGCTACTGTTGTGTGATTGGACACTGGCAAATCAAAGCTATTAGGATAACCCTTTATAATTCCTGCCAACCCCAGGCGGTCTCAGTTAGTGCTAGTGTCTTTTATTGGTGATGGATGCCTTTTCTCTGCTGTGAGAGAAACGCATCCTTTTCTGGGTCATCATTCTGCTTTCAAGTGTCTGAACACAGGACATCCTCCAACTTCTGCAGTTGTGAGTACCTTTGGGTCCACAAAGGGATGGGAACATAGTACAGTGACCCAGGAATGTGTATCCACTTTCTTGCTGCTGAAAGGATATGACAACATCCTTATTGTTGTTCTACGTCTAGCATTTAATGAAATAGTTCCAGTTTTTGGAGCTCATGCTTCCAAAGATTGCTCCTTAGTGGGACTGTGGTGTATAGTATTCTTGGATAGCTGGAACGGTCAGCTTACAACTTATGGAGTTATAAGGTTTTAGTGGTATTGATCCATTTTTTCACGCTCCATAGACCACGTCCCAGTTAGTTTCTCCAGACGACTCCCAAGTCTGATACACATTGGAAGCCGTAGAGAACTTTTAAGTTGTTCGATAGGTTATAGCTGAGTGTCCGGCCTATGTATGTGAGTTCAGCCTGTCAAATTGTTGTCCGCCGGCTGAATGGGACTCTGTGGATCCCCAATGCTGACAGCTCACACACAAGTCAATCTACTAAACACAAGGCACCTGGGTGGTCTAATGTGCTGAATAGGGGTTCAAAGGCTAGCTAGTTTTTTCACTTCCCTCCAGTTTCTTCTTTCTTTGTCTATTTCTGTTTTATTTGTTTTTCCCCCCAAACGGCCAGCTCAGTGGGGTAATGGGGGTGAGTTTCTCAATAAACGCCCAGCTCCTTGCAATTCGCTATGAACTAGTTTCCTTAGCAACATAAGGCCGAGCCACAATTGGTGGGTTTTCGATCCTACTGATGTTGTGATTACCCTTAGAGTATAAAGTAGCACATAGAAAGCTGGGCTGTCTAAGCTCTGAGGAAGGGGACATGTCCCCGAAAGCACGTTAAGCAGTGGCACTCTGTGAGAAGAGTCTCCTGAGTGTCTCCTCCATTACATTTATAGCAGCAACTTCATCAAGGATTGCTATTCGATGTTTTTTTATACTGCTTCAATTTTGAGTATATTTCTGTATACTTTTTAATCAATAAAAAAGATTTTCCCTACCCCAGGAAAGGCGCCCGGTTATTTTTTGTTTTCTATGTAGGTTTCTGAATTCAGCGACTGGAACGGGGCAGCTTCTACTGGATGCGTAGTGAAGTGTTCTGGCTTAAGGTTGGTCTTTCTGGCGCTGATCGGTGTATTGCATTATCGGAGCTTATGGCTTTACCCTGGTTTTACACACAAGTTTCATCTGTGTGGCCAAGCCCCCATATCTAAGGTTTATGTGTGGTGGGCTGAATAAACCAGTTGCACAGTTGTGCTTCTATACAGAAGTTCTTTCACTGTGGGATTCTGCAGACTCTTGTAGTTGAGGCATGGGCTGGTGCTTTACCAGATAAAAGGATAGGGACATGGAATTGAGCTTTTTAAAAACTCTTTGGAAGACAAACAGAGGGAACTGTAGAATCACAGAGAATTTTAAGCAAAATAAAATCTTGATCAAGTGTATGCTACTAGTTGCTGAAAGTGGATATTTGGCTCAAGCATTTTTTTTAGCTTAACATCTGTATATTCGTTTGTAATCCTCAAATATGGGAACTGTGTAGCCCAATCTAGCTGGTCTAAAGGGACTGTCAATAGCAAGAATCTTTGACTTGGAACCATTGATTGTAAGTCTCGAGTAATACCGATTCATTAATGACATCCAAGGCTGTTGTTAAAGAACCGTGATGCTTCGATAGGAAGAGAATCATGTAATCTGCCAATATAATAATTACATTTGAATCCAAACACTCTGTAATCTAATGTGACCATGTTTTTGGCAACCAAAAGCTCAGTTGAATTATGTATAATAGGGGGCCCTTATTTAGTGCATCTTGACTAGGTGAATAGATTTGAGATGCAGCCATTAGCTCAGACTCTGGCACTTAGCATAGTATATTAGGCATATCCAGTTAAAAACCAATCCCTAATGCCAAGCCTGGCAAAAGCTGCATACAGATAACGGCATCTAGTTACCAGAACACAGTCAACACAACTGTCATGTTTGGACTGTATGATTACAAACACCCTTCTGATGTTTATAAAAACTACTTTTCCAAGGTATAAATCGTGTTCAGTCAGGATAGGAGAGCATTAAAGGAGAACTATGGGGTCAGGGCTTCTCCCCATAGTTCTCCTTACGGTAACGGGAGGACACAAACTAGCGTCCTCCCGTCACCCTAAGCTCAGTATACTGCGAGCTACAGCTCGCGGTATTCTGAGACGCCGCAGCCAGAGCGGATCCCGACATCGATGTCGAGATCCGCCTAGCTGCGTGAGTGACAGCTGGCTCTGCCCCCTCCCCCGTCCGTTCCGACAGTCAGCGCTGGCGGATCGGAGCGGGGGAATCCAGTCCCTCCCCTGTCACGGCAGAGAGCCGTGACAGGATCGAGAGGTGAGCGAATGCCGGTATGTGTTCGCTCACTTCCCGATCTACTGAGCCGTCCTGTGACAGTCTCATTGTCACAGGTCGGCTAGAACTATGAGGTGAGTGAAAAGCACTCGCTGTGTGTAGTGTGACGATAATAGTGATTAAGTCTGATAACAACAAAAAAATAGCATTCTCTTGTCCCCAGTTCAGAGCAAATGCAGGCTGTCATTTGCCAGGTCCATCCACATTCCACAGAACAAAGATCTGCTTATCTGGCCTGTGATCTTTATTGCCCCCCCAGCACAAGTGAGAGTCCCAAATCACCTCTAAACCTTTTATGGCGGCCCTAATTAAAGACATACAACCAGGCATTCATCTATTACATGCGGACAAGTTAATATAATCACAAGCAGGTCTGGTAGAGTTAATGACCCAGGTGACCCAGCATTCACCCAAAAGTCATAAACCTGAGTTACAATATCAGCACCATTTCATAATTTAGAATTGGGTGGTGATAGTATTAAATAAAGGTTCATCCCCCCCTGCTTGCCCTTCCCTAGGGGCCGGCTCCGTGACAACCGCTAGAGGGCTGACAAAAGATGCTGTGAAGCAGCTACAGAGGCTCTTGTTTTTGAAACATCAGGAATGTAACTCCAGCAACATCAAGAAGTCTTAACATCGCAGAAGTGTTCCCCTTTAATCTCCGGACATCATCTGCTGAAAGCTCGCTTGAAGGAGAGCTCTTCGGACTTCTATTTTGCTTATTAAACTCTGTCAGAACTTTTAAGTCCAGGACTGTTGAGTATTCTCCTTTTATTTTACGGTTATCTTTTTATTAATATCTTCTTCTGTATATTTTCTGCACCGTTTCTTTTATTAAAAGACAACCTAAAAATCGTTAAGCTTATCTCTACGCTCTACATACGACCTTAAAGTATCCTTTCCTGTGTGAAGAGCGCTACTATACACTGAGTGGCCAGATTATTATGACCATCCCATCAGTACTTCGTTGGGCCACGAGATGACTCCACGAGATGACTTTGTTGGGCCGCCTCGTGACTCCACGAGATGTTGAAAGGTGATGCGAGGAATCTGACACTGCACTGTTGCCCTTCTGTTGTCTTGTACCAGTCTTGCCACTCTCCGTTCTGCCCTAACATTAACTAGTCGCTGACGGCCACAATTCGCACGTTCAGACCCAGATTTTCGGCTGGCAGTCCAGTCTTTAAACACTTTAACAACAGCTGCTCTTGAACATTTAACAGACTCTGCTGTTTTGCTGATACTCGCTCCATGTCTCCGAGCGCCAACAATCATCCCATGTTCAAAGGCTGTTAAATCGCGTTGTTTACCCATATCTTCAGAAAAAAAAATCACGTCTACTGTGGTGGTAAACAAACTGCTTCCCTATTTATAACGGTCTGGCCCACTAGCAACTTCAGCGCAAAATTATAGCTAATTTGCCTAAAAACGTCAGGTAGTCATAATAAACTGGCCACTCAGTGTATAGTGAATCCTGTCATATTCCTCTCTGAGAGGACAGCGGTAGCATAGGCATTATTTAAGTGTTTTAAATTGTCACAGCACTTGCTGGGCACGGTCTGTGTTTCCGGTAAAAAAACACATGGTGGCAGCCAACATTTGTGGGTAAAGGGTTAACTGTGGAGTTACCAACCCTGGTGATGATCGCCACGTCCTTGTGACGCCACACTTGGTTCAGAACTGTGTATAGTCACGTGTGATTGATATACAGCAGGTTTGGGCCGGGCGTATGTCATATGGAGCTCTGTCAAAACAGGATTTACTATATAAACCGCTAACCATAGGGTTACACCAATGGCCCAGGATTCACAGAGCAATATGGATGTTTTTTTAAAGGAACAATAATGGTTTGCCTTGAGGCTCTCTCTTCATGATCCAAACTTCCTATTAAATTATGAAAAGGTTCATCTGAGGTTGTATTTACCTAATTCTAAGACCTGCTAAGGACCAGATGATTTTTATTATATCAACAGATCCACCCAACCTAATTTAATCATTAATGTCAACCCTTCATTTGTATTTAAAATCACAAATCTTTCTGCCCCAAAATTTCTTGCAAAGCCGATCAATTATTTTTTCGAATAAAAAAAAAAAGACAACGTTGCACTTTATTCAAATCACGCAATAGAGACCAGAACGGTATAAATAATGTTTATTTTTTTTTCTTATATACACAGGAATCACTTCACCAAGTCTTTTACATACTTCCAGCTGTCTGCTGTGTACTCACAAACTTTGGTTGGTGCAGATGAGAGAGCAGACACAGACTTCTGCACCCCTGAAAACAAGAGGACAGTAAAAAGAATTAGTACTAGTAGTAAACAGAACTGGACTTCACCGAGTGCCCATATACATGATCTTTGAACCCTGCAAGAACAACTAGAGTGAGGCTGATTCACTAAATGAGTTGAGAATCTGAACCCTGCAAGAACAATTACAGTGAGGCTGATTCACTAAATGAGTTGAGAATCTTCACTTAAATTGAGTACAGAGTCACTATATTTATCTTATCATGTGAAAAGAAAATTCCTATTCATTTCATATACACATGATTGGGCATTCGGAGTGCACTCAGCTACAATATAATCAGTGATGATTCTCAACTCCTTTGATATAACAACCCAAGAGTTTACCTGCTAGAGTTAACACTAAAGGTGCCCATACACCTTACGATTATCGGACGATTTTCGTATGCGATCGACTTTTCGTACCATGATCGTATGTGTGCATAGCAGTGCCCGACCGACATTACTGTACAATCGTACGACTTTTGACGGTCAAGCATGTTTGAAAACTTTGCCAGATCGTACGATTGTCGTAAGGTTGCTGGCGTTTCTGTCCGTCAAAAGTCGTACGATCTACACCGCGCTTGCGCTAACGAAAATACGGCAAATCAATTACCGCATTTCGTCCAGGTGCTTTTAGTTGATTACGGCTAAATTAATCTTGCGATCATCGGGGCAGGATGGGGCTGTCGTATGAAAATCGTACGACTATGCGATCGGACAAAAATTTTCGTCCGATAATCGTAAGGTGTATGGGCACCTTAAGTGGCTGCAGAGATGAGTACAATTTTTCTAACACATGTCAAAGTTGGCAAGGCTAAACTACTGAGAGCCATGTAGGAGAAAAAACAAACAAACACCAATCTAACATGCTGCTCTAAAGTTTTTCTTCACCTAAATAAAATAGTAGTTGTGGAAGGCAGATGACCATAAGTACACTTAGGCTAAACCTGGAACACGGTGCATTGCGTTTTGCCGCAATCCTCCCACGTTCCGGGAGGTTTTTTTTTTTAATAGCTTAAAATAGGCTTTCAGGTTCAGTCCAGTGCGTTTGTATGCTTTTATGCATTTCCATGCATTCCAGAGAAAATGATACAAGCGGTATTTTTTTTTTGTCTGGTCTGGAATGGGCTGCACTGGTGTGAACAGAGCCCAAGAATACCATAGACATACATTGGGATGCTTTTTTGGTCCGAGAACAAACTGTTCTGGTCTGGACATGATCCGGGCATGGTGTGAACAAGCCCTTAAAGTAAACTGCTTCTAAAAGAAATCTAGGGACTGTCATGGTTGACCTGAAAATGCTAGATGCCTGGCTGTTATGCTGACCTAGTTTCAATACGTTGAGCACATGACCCAGAACAAGTATGAAGATGAGTAAAGTCAAAGTCCAAAATATCTGCATACCTGTTTGGGTTAGTGACTAACTAGTGAAGCAAGAGAGTCACCACAATAATCAGGAATGAAAAATTTGCATAATGAGCCATCAATGCCATCCTCTGTTTTTTTGAAGTAACAGTGCTACTCCCTACACTGCTCATTAATGACTTCACCCCGCCCCACCTCTGCTCTGGCTTGTGGACTGTCTAGGGCAGTGGTGGCGAACCTTGGCACTCCAGCTGTGCCAAAACTACAAATCCCAAGATGCATCTGCCTCTGGGAGTTATGTCTGTGGCTGTTAGAGCCTTGCAATGCCTCATGGGGCTTGCAGTTCCAAAACAGCTGGAGTGCCAAGGTTCGCCATCATGGTCTAGGGCATGGGTAGGCAACCTTGGCTCTCCAAATCCCACCATGCATCTGCCTCTGGGAGTCATGCCTGTGGCTTGCAATGCCTTATGGGATCTGTAGTTCAGCACAGGAGGGTCTTCATTGTATGTGATGATGTTAGCGGGCCTCCAAAATGCCAGTGAGGGAGGGCCTGCGGGGTTCAGGTAAATAAAAAAGTCTCTACACAGCTCTCCTAGACATTAAAGAGTAGATAACCGTTGCTATGAGAGGGTAGCCCCACTTTTAAGGGAAATTTTTTTTTTCCTTCTTCGTCTAAATGTAAAAACAGTCCATGGATTTTTTTTTTTCCTCCAAAAATCCAAGAGTAGGCATTGCAAAATTGACAGCCACTGGCATGACTCCAAGAGGCAGAATGGGATTTTTTGCTTCACCACAGCTGGAGTGCCAAGATTTCCTACCCCTGCCCTAAAGAGTAAAACAAAGCTGCACGTTTACACCCTCACAGTCAGTAAAGAAAACTCAACATGCATGCTGGGTGAAATAATCTGAGGGTCTGAATTTCAAGATTGCAAATGATCACATTTCCCTTATGTATAGGCACATTTCAAGATGAAAAATGAAATACGATATACTGGTTTCACAAAATGCACAAAACAAATACTGTATGCATTATACAGAGGCACTAGGATCATATTTACCCCAGTTCCATGACTCGCAGAGAGAAAAGTCAAGCTTTGGTGTAGATGGAAGCTGTGAAAGGAAATGTAATCATATTTTACTGTTTTTCTTATGATGAAAAGCAGAGTGTTGACATAATTATATATAATTAGAAGTCCCATTAAAAAAATGGTCTTGCTGCTTCAACAGTAGGTTGAAGCAGCTAAACTGTGTTATTATAACAATGCACAGAAAACAGTCTGATATTCCTTGCCCATTTCATCTGAATGAATTCCCAACATATATGATAGCAGCAGGACTGAGTCATTGTATCTTCTTCTAATGACATATCTGCAGAAACATTTTTAAATCTGTCCACCCATTTAGGATGTTGGTATTGCAGGGACACTGATCATTGGAGCCAGACTAAAACAGTAGATATAAAAATGAAATGATTGCTTCAAGGCTTTTAAAAGATGCAAAGAATGCTTAAGTGTGACGATTTGCAGTGTGATATTACAACAAGGAAAACAATATTTGCGTGCAGTCATATTTGAACTGTATACCTAATAAAAAATTATCTGGAGGTATCCATTGATCTGCTGGCATCACAGATATTCAGCAGCCTGGAAACTGTTACACTATTTCCTGAACCTGCAATTATTTCTGTGTGTGTCACAGATCTACCACCTCACACAAATGAGCATCGTGCTCACCCAAGCACCTCCCCGTTCTGGCAAGTGAGAGCGAGACAGCTGCTGTATGGAGTCAGCCGTAGGGCAGGTCGACATCTTTGCACATTAACATTCCTTTGATAAGGCATTTTAAATTGGTTGCCAACCTATGAAAGCAAACCTTTTCATGCACCAGCACAATACAAAGCACAGGTGGTTCACTAAAAACACAAGCTCATCGTGGTGCCCTTTATTTTGAATGTGGTTTATGCCCTGTGTTGCAGTCACAAAGGGTAAAATACCACTTGTTACTGCAATGGCCTTGGGACTTCGCTACACAGATATTAAAAGGGTTACCTAAAAAAAGAGCCCTACCCAGTCAAGAACTCACAGTAGGTAGGCCATTAACTAAGCAGCTTTTAAAAATCTTCAGCAATGTATCCTCCATACCTGTAGACTAGTTGTGCCCGCACCAAAGCCTGGCAGGAAAAATTCACAATGTTCTCCATAGTTCTGTCCTCTCCTGTTTCCAGGATGAACCACCTGCTGGATGCTCGACCCCCAGCATCACAAGAATGAGCACCGTCTTTGTTTAGACCCCCGCATATGTGCAATACACTCCCTCCACTGCCATAGCGACAGGAGAAAATGCGCACTATGCATGTGAAGGGCTCTGACAAAAGACGGCGCTTGCTAACGTGATGTTGGGGGTGCGATTTTTAAAAGCTGCTTAGTAATTGGTACCTACTCGGGCTTCTTGACTGCATAGGCCATGTTTGTAAAATAAGGCCTCATTCACAGGTGCTGCGTGTGATTAGTATGCAGCCCCTGTCTTGCTCTATGGGACTACGCTGACCCCAAGTGCAGGTCCATACGGGTGCGGGTTTCCCGGCTTGGACATCCTGTCAGCATACGAGTATAGACCCCCCGCACCGACGTGCAGGGCGGGTGAACGTAGGGCAGCATACGGCCGCGTAGTCCCAAAGAGAAGGACAGGGGCTGCGTACTAGTCACATGCAGCCCCTGTCCTTCCCGGGAGCTGCCCGATATAGCCGTGCACACAGCACGGAGCTGTACGTGCCGGCCGTTTCTCGTGTGAATGAGGCCTAGAGGTGAACTAATCCTTTAATCTTTTGCTACTAAGATATTTAAAGTATATTTATTTTTTGGATAAGGACTAACGATTTGGAGTCAGGGAGGGTTACTAACAGGAAATGAGAGGATATATTTCCAATGTGAGGGGAATCCCCTCTTAGACAGTTATCCCAGGAACACGTGTCCCCATTGAAAGATTTCCCCTCCATTCCTGTTCTGGTGACAATTCAATTGTGTGTTTATTCTTGCTTTTAGCACAGGTAACATTGGTGATCAAGCCAGATAGAGAGATTGAATTTCCAGAACGAGGACACAGACAGGCAAAAACCATGGTTCTAAACCCTCAACACTTTATTCAAGCAGAAGAAGCAAATGGCTCCCTATGGAGTAAGCTAAACAAGTAGCATGCAGTAGGATCTTGCAGCAATTAACTCCACATGATTGGAACATTTAGCAATCACATGCGATTAATTGCTTTGGCATGCATTAGGGCTGGTTCACACCACCAACAGTGCATTCCAGAGCAATCAGCCTCTGGAACGCACTGTATCGCAACTCAGCCGGCTCTCTCTGCGTTCAGGGGCGGGAGTGGGCATGGTGGTGCATTGAAGTCAATGGCACCGCAGCCAGGCCCCCCGCCCGCAGTGCGATCGCCTGCAGCTGAACGCGTGGCACATTAGTGCCTGCGTTCCGAGCCAGTGTGATCTTCAAAAATGCTGCAAGCACTATTTTTGCAGATCGCACTGAACCGGAACGCAGGCACATATGTGCCACACGTTCGGGTGCGGGCGGGCGTGGCTGTGGTGCCATTGACTTAAATGCACGCCCCTACTGCCCCTGAACAAAGGGAGCCAGCTGGGTTGTGATGCAGTGCGTTCCAGAGGCTGACCGCTCTGGAACGCACTGTTTGTGGTGTAAACCGGCCATTAAACAGCTTAATAAAATACAAATAGAAAATTGGTGCATTTTACAAGCAGCATTTGCCAGGGAAATTGAAATACCTGCATTAAAATGCATAGATAATTCAACATTGATGAGTTTTACATGTCTAGCTGTCACACCCTATATACACTTGAATTTGGTATAGTTCGGGGCCAAATCACATGTCGCTTTCATATTGCTTGCTGATCACAGAGACAATAGATTATTTGTGGAAGTGATCAATTGATGCAGGAATGCATAAGGTGGCTGGATCAGATTTCCGCTGACCTGATTAAGATACCCCATAAATAAAATGTAATAAATGATAAATACATTTAAAATAAATCCCCCCTCTTCACTAACCCTCCAGGTCTTAAGAATTACAATGGATGTTCTGGATGACATTTTCTTTTACCAAGTCTACAATCAAAGACCACAATGTAATTCAGAATTTTAATGATGTCAAACATGTGGAAATGTCCTTGACATGCTTATTTCTCTCATTATAAATATAAATGACGATTATGCAGCGCTAGATACCCTAGTAAACCTAAATAAGACCTGCTATCCCCTTGAAAACGTGCTGAGTCACGAAACGCACTGGGGCGCGCCTATCTGACGTCACAGTCAATGAGGCAGTGAGCACAGGAGCTCATGAAACACTGACCGTTTTTAATACACATGTGCGTTTTTACTTTGTTTATAATAAACGCTTGAGTTATACTGCACTATGAGGAGCTCCTTTTGATTTCTTTATTATATGGGAAACAAGATTCGCTAAACAACTGGGAGGAGACGCTGAAAACTGTCTGATCCAATACCGACTTCAGGTCACCTGTAAAGTGTAAAAGCGATGTATATGCGGTGAGTGTGCACTGCTCGGGGGGCTTCGTGTGTTACACTGGGAGGACCACTAAGCACCAGCACTTTTTAGAGTTTGGATTCAAAGGACGAATTATGAATTTGAATTGACATTCATCACATTTTAAAGATTTATTATTGAGTTTGATTATAAAGTCACCAATTATCCATTGTGATAATGCATATCTGGATGGTTGTTTATCCAGTCTGGGGTCACATTGTTTACAATCATTACAGTTTGTTTGTGGCACATCTTGATTATTTTTCACTATTGATTATGTTTCACTATTAAGATTGTTGGGTATCTTATAGATTTGTTATTATTTAAGTTTAATAGGGTATCTAGCGCCGCATAATCGTCATTTATATTTTTGGGACCTTTTGGTCTGTTTTGTGGCAGTTTCATCACCCATATTAGCAGTTTATTATCTATAAGCGCAGATCATTAGATTTATTTTTCTCATTGCAATACAAATGATCATACTTCAATGCTATGCTAACAATTTACACAAACAGGTTAGGTTTTCTTGGTGCGTCACAATGTAATGTTGCAAATGAAAAATTAAATTAAAACTTTGGCTTCGTAACAAAAGAAAGGACCCGGGGGAGGTAACTTCTCAAAAACAGCTTTCTAGATGAGCATCAGTTTGCCCAAAATAGATATATTATTATCCTAATAAAATAATAATAGGACATTTATAAAAACTAAACTATGGTGCGAGCTTCTGGACATGTCAGGGGCTGCACTTGAAGCCTCCTAAACTTACCAAGATGTCCACTACTGTCATGAATGCTGTGGACATTCAAGTACTTAAATATTTTTTACTAGGAGTAAATTAACTTTAAATAAAACACAAGACATCAGTGACATCTGTAGCTGCAGACACTGTGGGCCAATTCATCCTCAAGATTCAGAGCAGAAGTACTGACATTGTTCCAAGCCCCCACCCCCCAACATATACTTAAGTTCTCTTTGCTCTGCCACTATTCTGTTCAGCATTGGGAGCTGAATTAAATATTTGTCTCTTATGGGTATGAAAGAGTATTCAACTCACTCCATGTAAATGCATGGGCCAATAAGTGCCTTCACAAGGCTTGTCTATAACCATGTGTGAACTATGACTCTGGCAATTCATAGCTTAACCAATACATTATTTTGCTCCCACAGGTGCAAAAGGAAGTCAAGTATGCAAAGCACAGGTTTAGTTTAAATTCCAGGCTGCAAAACCGGGCACTTCGATACACTAGAGGCATTATGTGCAACCAGCTTGAAGTTCTAAACCACTGTACTATACCTGCAAACCAAAGTAGTCTGCCCATTCGTGAACAGCAGGAGGCACAGCCGCTGTAGTCTTTTTCAAGGCTTCTTCTCCCCGATTACCACTTCCTAGAAGTCCATAGTCATACGCTACATAGACAGCTCCTCCAGCTAGCACAGCTTTTGTGGTAAATCTAAAATATAGTAAACAGGAACATGAACAGTTAAGAACCATATCAACTGGAAATAAAGTAATCAACAAATGTTTTGAGAAGGAGAGGGGCAATTCAAATCTGTGCTAAAAATTATAGTTTTTAGGCTGTCTGGCTGATTCTTTAGCTTCAACACTTTCTTCCTACCCTGGAAGTAAGCAGAGAAGAAAATTTGGTGCAAGTTGAAAGTTGATTCAAGTTTGTTATGAGACAGTGACCTAGTAACAGAGGCAGAAATAGCCAGGAAACTAGCATTCTTAGATGGAGGTCAGAAATGACAGTCTATACGTTTTTCTTAGCGCACTGTAATGTTCTTACTCTTTTGACCAAACGTGTCAGAAAATACACCCTTTTTGTGTTTGTATATGGGGTCTTAGCAGACCATGTGCACATCTGAAGTTTTCTGGTGTTATAATGAGGAATTACAAGTTATTTTATTGATTATTGGCATTTATATAGCGCTGACCATTTACGCAGCACTTTACACATTCACATCAGTCCCTACCCTCAAGGAGCTTACAATCTAATGTCCCTATCTCACACACATACATATGATGGCCAAATTAGACAGGAGCCAATTAACCTACCAGAATGCCTTTGGAGTGTGGGAGGAAACCCATTGACCTGGCCTGTGCTGCCCATCACATATTACTCTTTTTTTAGATAAATGTTTTAACTGCTCAATGTTCCCTTTCTCACAGTGCATTGAAACTGGAACATTTTACAGGGCACACAGAGTTATTTTTTGTTTTTTATTTTTCATACTCTGCAAAAAAAAAAAAAAACTGGCCAGAGGTGAATTTTACCAGTTCTTACAGAGTTTCATTTCTTCTGAACAAAGCAGGACCTGCAAAAGAATAGGCTTTATATTCACCTGTCCCACTGTCTGTTCCTCCAATCTTTGCTTTCTTGTACAGCAATAACTTCTTCACAATGGACACGCATTCTGGTGTGTGGATGCCTGGTGGAGGTGTTGTCGTGTATGTAGAAGATGGGGCAAGGCTTTGTTGCCAGGGAATGTTGCACAGGAAATGGGGGAGTAGACAATGGGGGATTCAGACACTTTGAACAACATTTGAAATTTAGTTCAGGTGCCTCCCATTTTTTCTTAATCGTTGCCGAGATGATTCTGCACCTTGATTGGAGTCCACCTGTGGCCAATTACAGTATTTTGTGTTCCATAAGACGCACCAGACCATAGGACGCAGGAGGTCCAATGCGCCTTATTGAGCACTCAACAGACCGTAGCTTCTGTCACAGCTTCTATGACAGAAGCTGCAGTTAGTGACCGCTGAGACAGGTGGCGCTGTGATTTCAGTGCCACGGTCTCAGTGATCACACAGAGCAGACGAAGAACGTCCGTTCTTCGTCTGCTCTATGGTGATCTCGATCGCCGCCGCTCGGTTTTAATACGAGTGATCTCATTAGATCACTCGTATTAAACGAGCAGCGGCTCCTACTGAACATTTAGCTCTGCTTCAGCAGAGCTAAATGTACAAAAAACTACTCGCCCGGCGCCCGAAACTGCATGTCTCGGGCTTCGCTCCATTCCCTCCTTTTGGGGGGAAAAAAGTGCGTCTTATGGAGCGAAAAATACGGTAAATTGATTGGACACGATTTGGAAAGGGAAACACCTCTCTATAGAGGGCCTCACAGCTGACAATGCATACTGAAGGGAATTTATCAAAACTGGAGCAGAAGCACAGGGCAACCAATCAGCATCTCTCTTTCATTTTCAAATCTTAACTGAACACACTGAAGAGAGAAGCTGATTAGTTGCCCTGGGCAACTGTTCCAGATTCTCTCTGCCCCAGTTTTGATGAATACCCCCCACCGTATTTGAACAAATGCCATGAGGTCAAAGGAACTGCTTGCAGAGACAGGATTATTGTAAGGCACAGATCTGGGGAAGGCTACAACAAATGTCTGTTGCACTGAAGGTACCGAAGCGCACAGTGGCCTCCATAAACCTCAAATGGAAGAAGTTTGGCACAACCAGCACTCTTCCATGAGCTGGTCACCTGGCCAAACTGAGCAATCGGGGGGAGTAGGGCCTTAGAAAGAGAGGTGACCAAGAACCTGATGGTCACTCTGACTGAGCTCCAGAGATCCTGTGTGGAGATGGGACAAAGTTCCAGGAGGACAACCATCGCTGCAGACCTCCACCGATCTGGCCTTTATGGCAGAGTGGCTAGACGGAGGCCATGAAATCCAGCTTGGAGTTTTGCAAAAAAAAAAGCATCTGAAGGGTTTATCCTCAATTCCTAACATTATGTCTGGAGGAAACCAGGCACCGCTCATCACCTGCCCAATACCATCCCAACAGTGAAGCATGGTGGTGGCAGCATCATGCTGTGGGGGTGTTTTTCAGCAGCAAGGACTGGGAGACAGATCAGGGTTGAGGGAAAGCTGAATGGAGCAAAGTACAGAGATGTCCTCAATGAAAACCTGTTCCACAGCGCCCAGGACCTCAGAGTGGGCCAAAGATTTACCTTCCAACATGACAATGATCCTGAGCACACAGCCAAGACAACTCTATGAATGTCCTAGAGTGGCCCAGACAGAGCCCTGACTTTAACCCTATTGAACATCTCTGGAGAGACCTGAAAATGGCTGTCCACTGTCGGCCCCCATCCAAGCTGACTGAGCTTGAGAGGATTTGCAAAGAAGAATGGCAGAAAATCCCACAATCCAGCTATGCAAAGCATGTCACGTCATACCCAAAAAGACTCGAGGCTGAAATTGCTGCCAAAGGTGCTTCAAAAAAGTGCTGAGTAAAGGGTCTGAATACTTATGCCAATGTGATATTTTAGTTTTTTCTGTTTTTAATAAATTCACAGACATTTCTAAAATTCTGATTTGACTTTGTCATTATGGGGTAGAATACTAGTATCCCACAGAGTACATTTCCCATTACTTCCTTCTCCAGAGACACAACAGGAACTGAGAGGAAATCTCTCCAGGGTGAGGAAGATGTCCCCACTGGAAATTGCCCCTCACCCCCTGTTCTGGATACAACTGTAAGGCTGGGTTCACACCTAGGCGTATCGAATATGCGCGTTTGTCGCGTGTTTCGTGATGCGTGTTTTTACAGCGATTTGCGGTGCGACAAACGCGTGTTTCCGAGGGCTACTTGGCTGTATCCCAATGGAAACGCGCAACAAAAACGCCCCAAAGAAGCTCTTGTACTTCTTTGGGGGGTAGGGCGTTTTGTAGCGTGTTCATACGGCCTGTAATACGCCCAGGTGTGAACCATACCCATAGGAAATAATGGGATTTCTGTGTTTGAGCGTTTTGCAGAGCGTTCGAACGCGCTACAAAATGCCCAGGTGTGAACCAGGCCTTAGGGCCTGTTTACACCACAAGCGTTGGGGTGGCACTGAAAAAAGTGGTCAGCACAGCCCCCCCACACACACGATACAATTTGATCTGTTTTAAATGAGCACAGGTCATACCACCGTTCTGCGGCATGCTGTACTTTTTTCAACAGAGTGGTGCAACGTGGTAAAACTGAATTGCAACGTGCGTGTGTCATTTCAATAAAGTTCTAAAAAAAATAAACAGTATAATGTGCTTGAAGCGGCACATTGGCACAGTACCTGTCATTGCAGACCAGCACTTGCACGTTTCGCATGGCTGGCTGGAGTGAACAGGTCCTAAAATTTTGGATTCCCCATCACTTTCTGTCCCATATTCAGGGATGACCAGTACATTAAAAAAATAGTAAATCTTCAGACAACAGTGAAAACCAGGCATAGATTTCCATATTTTCTGACTCTATACTAAAGTAACAAACGCTTTGCCATTAGATATACATTACTGCCCCGTTTCACAACTAATGGGTTCTGATCCAAACGTGGGTCGCAACCCCTTCTCCAGTGGATCACAGCGTCCTTAAACTCTCTTGCTCCATTCAGCAGGGACGCAGTGTGGCAGCGCACGGGAGACTTCCTTGTGTATTGAAGCAGTCCCCTCCCTCCCCAGGTCACCCGGACCCCCTGCTGCATTGATAGGGCCCGGGGAGAGATGAGACTATTTCACCACTTTAGGCCCAGTGTGACTTGGGCCAAGACTCAATGACCAAGAACAACTGTGGGTCCTAATGCCTCGTTCACACCATCCTCAGTGCGTTCCGGCCCAATTGTGACCGGAACGCACTGGAGCGATCGCATTGCGGCCTGGCTCAGTTTGTTGTGGGGCGGGAGGGGGAGTGGCGGTGCATTGAAGTCAATGGCACCACAGCCACACGAGAACGCAAGGAAAATCAATACCTGCGGTCCGGTCAGAAAAAAATAGTACTTGCAGATTTTTTTCTGACCGGACCGCAGGCATTGATGTGCCTTGCGTTCCCGTGCGACCGGAGGGTGTGGCTGCGGTGCCATTCACTTCAATGCACCACCACGCCCCCTCCCGCCCTACAATGAACTGAGTCGGCCGCAATGCGGGCAGGAACACACTGAGGATGGTGTGAGCGAGGCCTTAGGTTCGACAGGTTCAGAAACACTGCAATAATGTATACTATTCAGTATCCTTGAATCTCTGTGACATAAAAAGGTCACACACTGCCTTATTTTGGGTTAGGGTACACAAGTGTCATCTCAGATGCAAGTTACAGCATGCTTGGCACCCAATCTGAAGAAACCATTTAACAAACTCAGTAAAATGTAAGCATTGGTTGTCACGGGTTACTATCCATTCCATTACCTTACACCCCTCAGACTCCACCCAAAATAAAAGCATACATTTTATTACATACAAAGTCTTGCTAAGTATTCCTTCAAAGTCGTACAGAGCCCCATTATCTCTGTCAGCTCCGGCTAATGCTTTGTTACTAACTGCAGCCTGAAAGCTGAAAACCGTCTCTTCATAGACTTATTACAGTGCGGGACTCACTTGACAAGTCTCAGTACGGCAGGCGCCATGTTTCTCCCCGGCAAGGACACAGCCACGGAGATGTTAGAATAGGGGTGACGTCACGATCATGTGACGGTACAGTCAGGCGGGGAGTGGAGCTGGTGTAGCGGGGGCGTGGTGTGGTGTAGGCGGAGTTAGATTTGGTTAGTGGACTGCACGGTGCCGTGCCTTGTGTTGTGTATAAGAAGCCTGAAGTGATGTGCTGTTGCTGTGGTGTGAAAACTTTATAAGAGAAGTTTCAGGGTTGTCATTACTAGCCTGCAGGAAATGATACTAGCCTCTGTCTGGATTAAGCACTCCTGTGTTAAAGACCCAGAACAAATGTGTAATAAAGGGAGAGAAAGGCAGGAACCTCATTCACACATTTACATGCATTTGGAAATACACTATATTGCCAAAAGTTTGGGACGCCTGCCTTTGCACGCACATGAACTTTAATGGCATCCCAGTCTTAGTCCGTAGGGTTCAATATTGAGTTGGCCCACCCTTTGCAGCTATAACAGCTTCAACTCTTCTGGGAAGGCGTCCACAAGGTTTAGGAGTGTCTATGGGAATGTTTGACCATTCTTCCAGAAGCGCATTTGTGAGGTCAGGTACTGATGTTGGACGAGAAGGCCTGGCTCGCAGTCTCCACTCTAATTCATCCCAAAGGTGTTCTATCGGGTTGAGGTCAGGACTCTGTGCAGGCCAGTCAAGTTCCTCCTCCCCAAACTGGCTCATCCATGTCTTTATGGACCTTGCTTTGTAGTGCGCAGTCATGTTGGAACAGGAAGGGGCCATCCCCAAACTTCTAAAGGTGGCTACACGCATGGAAACGCAGCTAAACCCACTTTAAAGCAGGAACATCTAAAAGCTGGAAAGTGATTTTGAAAGCACAAGTGTCTGTGAAGGTTCTTATTTAGCCAGATCACGGTATAGCTAGTGGCAGTAGTCCCATACAAGTGGACTTGTTCTGTAATATTGAAGACATTTTGCTTTAAGAACTGGGCATTCCACTCCGGCCCCTTTATCTCCCAGTTGTACCCTGAAGCGTGTAGCACTTGGCTTCTGAGTCTGGCTTTCTTTTGACCTGAAGCAGCCCTTTTCATACTAAAAATCTACACATAATTTATAGATCTAGATACAAAAGTGCTTACTAGTCCAATCATCTATGTGAATGCATAGATATATCATGATTCATTTGATACCCCACATGACTATGCTATAATGTAAAGGAAGCTGATTACATTATTCCTTCTGAGGAAGCCATACATAAAAATGTTCAGTCTCTATGAAACAGGGATTTCATGCTATGCAGTAATATATTGGTTATCAGACTGTAACAGATGGTTATATGCAATTACTGATGCATTTAGAAATCTGGCCTGGAGGGAGGGTCTACTAAAAATAGCAGGAAACCTTCAGCATTTCTACCTCTCACCACTCAGACCCTTTGCTTGGTTATGTCATTTCTGTACACACCTTCTAGGGCAGGGGTAGCCCGACTTCAGCCCTCCAGCTGTGGTGAAACTTCAAATCGCATCATGCATCTTCCTCTGGGAGTCATGCCTGTGACTGTCAAAGTCTTGCAATGCCTAATGGGACTTGTAGTTCCACAACAACTGCAGGGCCAGGGTTTGGATATCTATGATGTAGAGCAGGGGTGCCCATTAGGTAGAGCATGATCTACCAGTAGCTCTCAAAACTGATGCTGGTAGATCACAAAGGGTGTGAATGGTGGCCCCTTTATTCCATTTTGGTATATTTATTTAGCTGTGCACACATGATTACCTATTAGCCTGAGTCTGCTGAGCCAAGCTCCCTGACACCTTTCTGGTGGATACTGGTGGTTGAAGTGCTATGTATTACACCAAAGATTATTAGTTTACACAGCCTGTTGCACTGCACTGTTTGCAAAATACAGCAAGGTGAGCCAGGAGAGAGAGCGGGAGAGACAGCCAAGAGAGCGAGGAGAAACAGCCAGGAAAGAGAGAGAGAGGAGAGACAGCCAGGGGAGAGAGCAAAAAGAGACAGCCAGGAGAGAGAGCAAAAAGAGACAGCCAGGATAGAAAACAAGGAATGACAGCCAGGAGATAGAGCAAGGAGAGACAGCCAGGAGGATGAGCAAGGAGAGAGAGCAAGGAGAGACAGCCAGGAGGATGAGCAAGGAGAGACAGCCAGTAGAGAGAGGAGAGACAGCCAGGAGGATGAGCAAGGAGAGACAGCCAGGAGAGAGAGGAGAGACAGCGAGGAGAGAGAGAGCGAGGGAGTTTTTTTTCTCGTTGGTAGATCTCATGTAGCTCGTCATTTAAGTAGTATATCTTAACAAAAAAAATTGTGGGCACCCTTGATGTAGAGGATCCACTAAAAAGCTGAATTGGCAGCAGAGGGTTTTCCATTTTTCTTCTAAACCACGTTAGATCACTAAAGGTCATTCACGAGAGCTGATGACCTTAATACATCAGATTGAACAATGGATTTTGCTGTTCTAGGACCAAAGACCACATAAACCTTGTTAAGTACTTTTCCATTGAAAACCTATTTATTGTGTTGCTGCTTAACGTCCATTTTTTGTAATATCTGTTTCTGTAAATATTTTTCATGGACTGTTTTCCTTTTTCTTCCTATAAAACGATATTTAAAAATCGTTAAGCTTTATCTCTAAATCGGAAATTAAAGAATCTGTGTCTCTTTGAAGAAAGCTACCATATTTTAGACTCACTCCCTCCCTCTCTGTTGTCCTGCGAGCTGTAAAATCTCTGTGCTGGTTGAGGCAGAAAGTGCCATCAACAATTTTAGCTGCCAGCTGTCATAGGGAAGGGGGGGTATGTGTTAGGATATTTTAAAATAGCCGATACAATATTTATTATTGGTTATTATACAATGCTGACAATTTACGCAGCACTTTACATAGTTGCACAATCTCTGCCCTCATACATACATAGAGTGCCGATTTAGACAGGAGCCAATTAACCTTCCAGCATGTCTTTGGAGTGTGGGAGGAAACCAGAGTACCCGCAGGAAACCTACACAGCACAGGGAGAACATGCAAACTCCATGCAGATAGTGTCCTTTGAACCAGGGACCCTCAGTACTGCAAAGCAATAGTGCTAACCACTACACCGCCCACTGTGCTGCGGTGCTACTTTTATCAGCTAAATAGTACATTTATTTATAAAATGGGCCTACAAGAGGGACATTTAAAGTAGTATTAAACTCTGGAAATAATGAATCCAGATCAAACAGACTAAGCAAAGTATTTTTTCTATTTTTGCCCAAGCACTTACAATCATCATGTTTCAGAGCAGCTGACTCCATCTCTTTCAGCTCTGCATCCCTAAACTTCCTGTCCAGTTCAAGATCACAAGGGAGAGCACAGTCTGCAGCAGCTGTCTTATCTACTTAGAGAAGGAAAGAGGGAGGTGTGGAGGCAGGGAGTGGCTTGTCTTGCCATGCCTGTATGTCTATGGTGACACACACAGCTAACTAGTACACACAAGAGTGGCTCCATAGGACCCTGCAAGGGAAAGGAGCCACCCTAAAACACATTGTCAGTGCCAGTACTCAGGGGACCAGCTGATTCTGCAGGAAGCTAAAACATTTAAACATCAAGGAGCAGCATCCATTATAAGTGATTTCATCAGCATATGAAATAGCTTAATACAAGCTGACTTTAGTATCACTTTAAATAGGAAAAGGGCCAAAGGAGCAGCTCCTCTTTTTGGACTAAATCCCTTTTTCCCTTTTCCCTCTAAAAAAGGGATATAGTCCAAAAACAGGAGCTGTTCCTCCAAATGAGGGCCAGTTAAGAGCTGTGTTACCGTCCCTTGACCCAACTGGCTTTGGCAAATTGCAGTACCACTAGGAGGGAACTGACAGGTCATAGTGAAAGAGACAAATGTGCAACAGCTTCTTCTCCAATCACACTGATTTGACACCATTGCCTGCATTTGTGAATAAAGGTGCCCATACACCTTACGATTATCGTACGATAATCGTATGCGATCGACTTTTCGTACGACCATCGTAACGTGTGAATAGAGTGCCCGACCGATAGTACTGTACAATCGTACGACTTTGACGATCAAGCATGTTTGAAAACTTTGGTCGATCGTACGATGTTCGCATGGTTGGTGGCGTTTCCATCCGTCAAAAGTCGTGCGATTAACACTGCGCATGCGCAAACTAAAATAATTGCGGTTAATTACCGCAAGTCGTCCAGGTGTTTTTTTTTACCAACCGCTGATTGAACCTTTCGATAATCGGGGCAGGATGGGGCCGTCATACGAAAATCGTTTCGTCCGATAATCGTAAGGTGTATGGGCACCTTAAGTCGTGAAGTGCAGGCAACAGTGCAGAGCAGAGTGAGGATATTTTTGTCATATAAATATATACTATACATCTGTATGAACGCTTCTGAACATCTGTGGCAGACTGTTTGCCTTTAGGTTATTATTCTGTAAAAATTGTATTTTTTCCTTACAAATCCAGTTTCCTGCTATTTTGATGTTTAGATTTCTATCATAGCCAGGGCCGGATTTCCCACAAGGCCAACCAAGGCCCGGCCTTGGGGCAGCAGGGAGTAGAGGGGCAGCAGGGGTGAGGAATTTCTATCTCCCAATGCCCGGGACATGCAGTTGTTTTCTACATTTAGCCCTGCTTTGGGCAAGCAGAGCTAAATGTACAGCGGGGAAGCCGCCGCTTGTGTTATACAAGTGATCTCGGTGATGACGCTGAGATCACTTGTATGCAGCCTGCAGGTCTGCCATTCTCCATGGGGGGAGTTTTGGCGTGTATGAGGGCGCATTGAGGACCTGGCTTTGGGGCAGCAGAGAGAGTAAATCCGGCCCTGATCATAGCTAGACATCTGCATATCTGTAGAAAGTACATTTGAGCTATTTTACATTTTTAAGCTAATTAGCTCAAATTAGTGAGCTAATGCTTATTTGCCATAAGGATAATTATTTTAGTAGAGTGAGTGGGTAATAACAATGACAACTAATGCATGTGCTACAGCTTGAAGTGACCCTGTACCCAGATCATGCACACTAATGTGTTTACATATGTCGGACAAGCAGTAAAATAACTTTTAGGGTTCTTTCACAACAGCTGCAAATGGAGTGTTTTAGTCAGCAGCTGGTGTCCACTGGTCCACAAGTGTAGTACAAAATCAAAATGTCTGTACACCGATATTCCTTTTAAAGAGGAACTTTACCCATATCTTTAAAATAACAACAAACACACCTATAGAAATGTTTACTAATGACAATCTACAAACACATACTTCTAGATAATTGCCGGATTTGTATTCTTTGCATACCTTATTTCTCTTTTCTTCCCCAGCCTTCTGACAGTGGCCCTTTAATTAAGAGCAGGTTACTAGATCTCCCTTTACTTCCTGGGACTCTGGCACATGTGACTAGACATGTAACCATGCACATCATCTCAGGGGAAGAAAATGCCCTTTCCTGAGATCTCATGATATTACACATGAGATTTCCCAGCTCTGCACTTTGCTGATGTAATCTTCCCAGGATGAAATGCTTGGGCACAATTACATCATTTGTCCCAAAGTGGACCAGGAAGTGGAAAAAAACAAATTGTAAGTAAAAGAAACATATGTTTGTTTAGCTAATGAATGTAAGATGATCTCATATCAGCATGCAGAGCTGTATACTGATGTAATTTTTAGTCAAAGGGGGTAAAGGTCAACTTTACCCCCTTTGTCTCATAATGCCTGAACCATTCTTTCACAATCTGAGCCTGATGACTCCTGGCATTGTTATCTTTGAATATACCCAATGTGCCATCAGGGAAGAAAAAATTAATTGATGGAAAAACCTGATCAATCAGTATATTCAGGTAGGCAGCTGACCTCATTTTTTTGGAACATAACGTTGCTGAACCTAGACTTATTATCTAATGGAAGGCCCTTATCTATTTGCTTAGCTAAATCCAGGTGTTGACTTTTTTTTTAGACAGGCAGTGTATATTGTGAAGTTTGAGATTTTCGTGAATATCTTTAACCAGTTGCCGTCCGCCCGTTGTAAAAAAACAGACGGACGGCACTGCAGCATTGGCGGGTTGCCGTCTCCAGACGGCATTTTTTTCTGCTTGCACGCGCGCCCCCTAGCGGGCGAGCACGGGCAGAAGAGGCCCGTGCAATGCAAACACCCGTTACCGGGTGTTTCACATATAGACGATCGGCGGCTCTATATGTGCTTGTTTTTTCGGTCCGCCGCCGCTGCCGCCGCTTTTTCGTTCCCCCCTGTCTGCTGCCATCCCCCCTTCCTGACCCCTCACCTTCAATCCCGGGATCCGCTGCCCCATCTGTGACCAGCTCGGGAGGTAAATAAAAGAACAAAAAAAAAAAAGTTACCCCCCCCCCCCAAAAATGTTTAATTCCCCCACGTTTACGCACATATAAACGTAAATATGTGTCCGGTGCACCAGTGCGCGAAAACGACAATTGCGCTATACACGTTACATATATCGCCGCGAACGTCGCAGTGAGAGCAATAATTTTAGGGCCATCAATCACTGATAACACTAAACTGATGAGCGGTAAAAGCTTTTAAAGCGTCGTCTGTGGCCAATTTTGGGTATTATAATTTTTTGAGGTTTCGCGCGCGCACGCAATTTTAAGGCTTGACATGTTTGGTGTCTTTTTACCCAACGTGACCCCGTCTTTTATATTTTACCAAAAAATTGGGTAATAATAAATGTTTTATCATTTAATATAGGGGAAACAGTTTTTTTTTTAAAAATTTTGGTAATTTTTCCTTAATATAGTAAAAAATAAAAACCCCAGTGGTAAAAAAATACCACCAAAAGAAAGCTCTATCTGTCCCCAAAAAATGGTATAAAATTAATTTCAGTACAGCGTTGTATGACGGAATAAATGTCAGTCAAAGTACCGCAGCGCTGAATACTGAAAAATGGCCTGGATGGGAAGGGGGTCCGCGGATGTCAACTGGTTAAAGTAATTTGTTTAATGTCCATACTCTGGGGTGTACACAGGCTAACTTTAACCTAATACCTATTATACTTTCTCAACATCTAGTACAAAGTATTTGAGTATATTAAACTGAACAAAAGCATTTTCTGGTATCTTAGTTTAGGAATTAACACCCAGGATTCTTTACATTTTCATAAGAAAAATGAAAAACAATATCTGATTGGTGGTCTACAAACTAACTAACTCAAGTACTGTACTTTTTTACTAATGTTCTGATAAAAAGACACATTATTCCAGCTTTTTAGTCTCTTTGTATACCAATAGAATCAAAGAAATGGATGTAAAAAGCAGAATTACAACCTCTGTGTGTGTTTTTTTTCATCATGTGTTATGCAACACGGGGCATGGCAGCATTTTTGCACTGCAATCTATTTTATGGAGGAAGAACATAGACCATGTGACACCTCCAGATCTTGGTAGACTGCATTCCAAAGGAAAAGCTTTCACACACACAATACATGTTGTGTTACACATTTTTACAGCTGAACTGACTGTGAGCCTTCCACTTTCTACTATGGGCTACTTTATCAAAGGATGGTGCTTTGTTGCCTTTGTGGCAATAATTGGATATCTGTACAGAGACACTTTTGACCCTGGTAAGAAAATGTATGGAATAAATAATTTACTACGTACTTGATCTGGTCTATCTGGGGCAGCATGGTGAAATGTCAGTGGTATAGTTTGTTTAATATGTGACTCAAAGTTGTGTCTGATATTATAAGTATATGTGATTGCAAGCATGTGGGAGACATTACAGTGTCTATATGACATTGTGATACCCTTAACCATATAGTATACGGTATATTACTTTATTATGATGGTAATAGAAATATAACACTGCAGCCAGCATAATTTGTGATTATATTTTACTGAGTTGTCAAATATGCTGCATTTTTCTATTTCCTGGTTTAGAAGAGTACTACATACTAACATTGTGAAACTGATTTACTAAGGCCTCATTCAAACATTTGAGTATGCACCAGAGCATTTGTTTTTGTTTATTGATGCAAATTTTTTTTTGCGACAATTTGTACATTTCAGAGGAAACACCCCATGCTGGTTATTTTATGATTTTTTTTATTTTGTCTTTTTCTTATAATTAAAGGGTAGGCATGGCTGAACTCAGAAATAAAAGGCTTAGTAAGACCTGGGTTATGTCATTTCAAATACAATGGCACTGTGGTAATTCAGGAACATAAAGAGCCACATTGCATGACCTGTATTAGGAGATTACTTTTTGAATTCTAATTGACATGTGGAAGGATTAGGCTACATTCACATGGGGATTTATGCCATGTTCTGAGATTTCTGCAGCAAGTACCTACAGATTCCTGCGACTGGAATCCCAGGTTTCCCAGCTCACATGTGGCTGCTGTACCCATTGAAGTAAATGACAGTGTGACAGCAGCCACATCTGTCAGCATGGTACAGCATGATACAATTACATGTGGTTTGGGATAGGTGATTGTCCCTAGACACAGGATAGATGCATTAAGCTACAGTCATATATCCCAAAAAGCGCATGTAATCGTACCATGTTGTACCATGCTGACAGATGCAGCTGCTGTCACCTTGTCTATTACTTCAGGTAGGTACAGTGGCCACATCTGAAAGGGGGCAGATGGGATTCCATATGTTCTTGCGGCAGGAATCTCAGAAGTCCCCATGTACTTTTAAAATGTTATTTTTATATAAAATAAAGTTGGACTGGACACATTCTGGTTGTCATGGATACTGGAAAAAAAGATATGACAACATAAAAGATATGAAAACAGAAAAAGATTTATTTAAAACATTTCATGAAGGGGGTTGGAACCAGAGAAGGCAAAATATTAAAACTATAAGCAATAGTTTAATCTTCAGCTTTAATTGTGCTTATCATTTTTTTTTCCAGAAAGTCTTGCCAATGCTAAGGTCCTAGTTACAGGTGCAAGTACTGGCATTGGTGAAGAAATAGCATACCACTATTCCAGGGCAGGTGCACACCTCTTACTAACAGCAAGAAGGGAAGATGCTCTGCTCAAGGTAAGTAACAAAAATTGCAATCATCTGCTTGGGGGGAGAGAAGTTACAATATATTCATTCCAGAGGTTCAATTGATCAGACTGGAGAGTTGGGTGAAGAGCGGGGCGATTTCTAAATATGCACATTTTTATCAGTGCTGAGACACAAATATTGTACATTCACAGGGGGGCATATAAACAGCTTGGTTAGGCAACAGTGTAACAATGAGAGACAAGACAGGATTTATCTTACAATAAATTTCACAGTGTCTTATTTAAGTGAGACAATAACCACAAATATTTTTGAATGCTGGAACACTGGATTAGGCTGCAAACTAAAAGACACAAAACATGATTTACACAGCAGCAAACATAACATATTTTGCAGCTGAGGCCCAGCTGCAGAACATTATGCATAGAACCTTTACAGTGAAAGAGCACTGGAATAAAGCAGAGAAGGCCATAGGAGGCGGCAGGTCAGCAGAGGTGGCATGTGCTAGTAATGATGGCAGGTCAGGAGAGGCAGCAGGAACTGGTATTGGTGGCAGACCAGCAGAGAAGGCAGTAGTTGGTACGGGTGGCAGGAGCTGGTAATGTTGGCAGAGGCAAACCAGGTGATGTTGCATAAGCTGGTAATGGTGGCAGGCCCAGAGATGTGGCATTAGCTGGTAAAGGTAGTAATGGCAGGACTGAGCTATGGCAGGGGCTAGAAATGATGGCACTAACAGGCCAGCAGATCAGGGCCAGGAGAGGCATCATAAACTGGTAATGGTGGCTGACCAGCAGAGGTGGCAGGAGCTGGTATTGGTGGCACAACAGGAAAGGTGCAATGAGCTGGTAATGCTAACAGTGGCAGTCCAGCAGAGGTGGCATGCCAACAGCAGTGACATGAGCTGGTAAAGGTGTAAGGTACCATTTTTGCACTGGGGGGGGGGGCGGCGGCTTGCGAGTAAAAAATTAGTTGGTTGCATCAATTACATGGGATCTGTATTCATTGCTGACTCGTGAGTGGTTCATTTTTATATTAGTGAGTGGGGTCTGAAGACGACCGAATGCACTTTGGACATGAGACATGATCTTGCCACTATTGGAAATGCAGCCAAGAGGTTCTCCATCAGCACCTATTCTAAGTGGCACATTTTTTGCTCCCTTCGGTGATCCTCGGTGCCAGTGAGGACAACAGTATCCCAAACAAACTCATTCTGCCCACATACAAATCCTGGGATTTGGGAGAAATTAAACATTCTCCCAAATCATAGTGAAACAAATGGGGAAGCATGCCCCATTTTCTCTTCCTCCTCACCACCAGCTTCTTAACTCTTCTCCTCCTCGTACTCTGCTCCTGCTGCCCCTGCCTCCTGCTGCCCCTGCCTCCTACTGCCCTTGCCTCATAGGTATGGAGACAGTAGGCAAAGGATCCTGCTGACACTGCAACAGCAGGAAATCCCCTTTCACCCAGCTACTGTGGCTCCATTACCTAGTATCTTAAAGCACGCTAATCCCTGCCTCATCAGGGATTAGCGTGCCGGGGGGGGGGGGGGGGGGAGTGTACCAGAAGATGCCATTGAGGAGCACAACACAGTACTGTGTAAAGTACTATAGAGCACCGTTTAGAGCACTGTATAGCTCTCCTTATCTACTCCAACACACACTAACGAAAAAAACTGCTGGAAGCCCTTCCTATGGGAGGGAGCTAGAACATAGGCCATTAGTGACCATTCTAAGCCACCTGGCCACAGTTCAAATGCCAGAAACTGCAAAATTTGTAGTTGGTTGCTATAGTGGCCAAGCTGCAAACGACGGGCTATTTAACAGACCAAAAAGGAGCAGACAAGAGAAGTTCATTGTCAAGGTTTACATACACTTTCAGTAAACAGTAGAGACTCTAGCATTTTACAGTTGAATGCTAGAGGATGGGACTTCACAAAGGGATCGGTTTAAAAACTAACCCTTGAACTTGAAGGCACCACAGAGTATCTGCCCTACTGAAATGTTAGAAACATTTAAGCTAGTTCAGATTCATGACAAATGTACAGTTATGCTTTAAAAAGAAGGATTATTACACACACTTCTGATAAATTAGTGGAGAAAGCAAAAAAGGAAGGTTAGGAAAAGTCTTAAGAAAAAATGCTCAGGTAGAAGTGATGGTTTGTTTCATCCTTTTCATTGCTGATAGAAATCACACGTTTTATGGCATATGTCAAGGCAATCTAAAAAAAACATATTTAGTTCATCTCTAGAATACATGCACATTTCCCCACGTTTAGCCCTTTAAACACCTGCAAGTGCAGAAAAATAACTGTTGATATGCCTGAAATAAAGTGTCCACTATATTTGTTAATTGTTAGGGTTTACATAAACTTTAAATCCTATGTGCAGGTAAAAAACTACTCTTTCAGTGGGGCTACCTCCACACTGCAAGGATTAACTGCTCATTTTTGTCTAGGAATAGTCTGTAAAGGACTTCTGCTTACCTGATCCAACCTCCCCCAGCAGTCAGCACTTACCTCTCTTCACTACGCTCCAGTTTGTGAAATGTCCCTCTGTGTGCTCATGTATACAGCAGGGCTATGGGCCTGCATTGTAGGTGATTACATCAGCAAGCGCAAGGGGGAAGAGGCTGCAGGCGCTTGTCTTGAAACCAGGAGGGAGCCTGGGGGGGGGATCAGGCAAGTAAAAGTGCTTTACAGAATACCCCTAGACAAAAATGAGAAGGTGACCCTTGCAGTCTGGGGGTAGCCCCTCTGCAAGGGTAGTTTTTTTCTTTCTGGTAATAGGTTTTAAATGACTACATACAAAGTCATAATATAGGTCTAGGGGTCTAGGGCAAACTTGTATATTGAGCAGACCTATTGAGTAATATGCACTAGGAGAGGGATGAAAGTCACCCTGATTCAAGGACTTATAATGTTTGAAATCTCCAAGCATATTGCATTAAACTAGTATTTTTATATAAATTAGGAGCAAATTACACAAGTACATGGTGCTTATTTGGCACTTTTGACAAAGGACCCTTTGGTCCTTTTGGGTATCACCCTTATGTATACACACAAACGTAAAGCGGACCTTCCATGAAAATACAGCCCCTACTCCTAAATACAAATGGTTTAAATGGCCATCGAAAAATAAAGTTTCTACAAAAAAAGTAAAAAAATACTTACATCGTCCTGACTTCCAATGTTTTCAGTAGATGTGGGTGACATCACTGTGCCTTACCATTGTCTACCAGAACTGAGTGCTTAAAATCCTATGAGAATGTTCTTCAACCCATTTCAGGAGCCCATATTGAGAACCCAGCTTTCCTGGGAGACACAATGATGGAAGTGTCGGAAGCAGAGGGTAGGTTTTTCTATGAGCAAAGTTTATTTTTCATTTTCTGCCCGTGCGTGCCCGCTAGGGGGCGCGCGCGAGCAGAAAAAAAATGCCGTCTGGCGACGGCAACCCGCGAATGCGACAGTGCCGTCCGTCCGTTTTTCTACTACGGGCGGACGGCAACTGGTTAAAGACGATTGTATTTGGGGGCTGCGAGTAAAGCAAACCTTACATTTTAATGCAAGGTCCATTTTAAAGTACATGAAAAAAATTAATATAACATGTTAAAATCTTTATGAATCTGCAGCTTTTAATAAAGTAATACCTGGCGATCATGCCATGCTGACATTTCCTGTTATAGGGTGACAGCGCTGTGTTCCCACCCGTATGGGCTCCTGCATTGTCACCCGGGCACATGGGATTTCAGTGGGGACTACAAATGGTAATTTCACTACAATACATATTATGCAGCCACAGTGCACTGTTGTCACTATCAGGAAACTCAGCCTGGGAAATGCCATACAGCTCTTATTGGAGTGCATGTCGACAGAAGAACAGCAGTACTGAGATAAAGCAAAAGTGAATCCTAATATTTCATTCTTACAAACATAAATTACTATAATTTGATTCAAGTCAAATATTTGGTATATCCATGTCTGTATTTTAATAGTGAATTTACAGACATTCGTTTGTTTGTGGTTACTATCTCTAAATGGTAACTGTTCATATGGGTGTGTATGCTAGCCTGTGTAAAACGAAGTAATATGGGCAAAGTTCATGTTTACACTAGCCTTCAGGTATAAGTCAAAGTGTAGTTATACTTCATTCACATGCATGACAGAATAAGTCACTGTCCTCAGAATGTAGTAGCCTATTAAAGCCCAACTGAATGTTTAAGTTTAAATCAGCTAAATACTTTCCAGGTAAATAAAAACAAAAATTGTGAAAACTTCTTCTAGAAAACAGCAATATTCAGAGCATAAAAGCCTGTCCTCTGACGGCAAGCTGTAGTGCAGAAATCTTGCTTGACTGGGTACAAGGCCAACTTACCCTCACTGTCCTTACTTAAATAAAGATACTACAGCCAACATTTTTTGGTTTCAATATTATAATTATTTTTTTAACAAAATCAGTATAACAAGGTAATAACAAGATAAGATACATTACAGACACATAATAATGCGTAATATCATAACTCATACATGAGAAAAAGGTCCCTCGAGGACACCAGATAGATCATATAACAAAGAATAAACGGTGAGAGAACAGACCTCGGTATCTGAAAGTATGGCATTTGCAATGAGAGAGGAAGATTATGGAAAATAAAGAAGAAAAGCAATGCAGGATCAAGAACACAAGAGAAAAAAAGGTGCCATAGGCATTGCAGGCTATTCGTATCAATCCTTGGATGGTAGATTTGGATGGTAGATTTGTATCCAAGGTTCCCAGACCTGCAAAAATCGCTCATACAGCCAACATTTTTCATAATAAAAATGTATATTACAACTTTGGACAGGAATGGCCTCAGCAGTGTACAATTTCTTTAAAAATAACAGTATGTAATTAGTAAACAACAATGCCCATTTCTCAATCCACTAAACGTTGTAATGACTATAGTGCAACAATATACACTGCCTGGCCAAAAAAAAAGTCACACACACTAATATTTGATTGGACCATTATTAGCTTTGATTATGGCACACATTCGCC